AATTGCTATGCTCTAAAAGTAAATGGATGGATTGTTTACAATTTTTGAATGGAAAAAATAACCTTATCGAATTTTTCTTATGTAAACATATTGTAAAATATCCGATCTTGGAAATAAAAAAAAGTTTCAATATCTAAAGTGGTTCTTGAGTTATGGCCTGTTATGTGTTAAAAAGTTGAGTTTTTAAATTATCGCGATTTCTGACGTTTTCTCGTTATAAAAAAATGACACCTAATGATATCCTAATAATTCCATTTCATATGCTCAGAAACATGTCTAATGATTTTATCTAGTTATCTCTTGAAAAAAAAAAGTATTTGGTTGATTTTTCTTTACTTCATAGGGAAAGGCGTATCGGCAACGCCGCAACAGCACACCGTCGCGCGTCGCGTCGGTTGGTCGCATTTCTCTCACTCCGACTTAATAAGATCCTTATGCGATTTACTTTCACACATGTAAATGCCGACCCAAAAGTAAAGCTCCGCGCGCACTGCCTCGGATCGGACCGACCAGCAAAAGCGACTGCGACCATCGTACATATAGACGGCGCCGGCGTCCACTAAAACATTTCGGCCTGTAGAGGCAAGATTCCTACCTCTACCTATCTACGATAGTCGAGTCACCGCCTCGCCGTTTCTCGCCGGACTGATACCGATTCAGTGCGCGTACACCTTAACAGTTGCCAGCACGGTATGACATAAATTAGGATTAATTGACGTATTCAATTGTTTTCGATCACTTGTTTAACCGGAAATGAAAGAGTGTCATAGAAAAATCTTATCATTTCATATAGACGTAACGTAACACACTCTAAAAGGCAACACATGAAAGTTCTTCTTCCTTTTATCTCGCCTATACCGGGTGCGTCTCAAAAGTGGCTAACCCCTATAACTTTTTTTATTTTTTTGAGATTTGGTACACATAAATTAGGATTGATTATAGGTCTGTTCTCAGAAGAATCCCTGATTAGTCAGCGCGTTTCTTATTGGTTGAAATGTGTAGAAACAAGACTAACAATCAGGGGGGTTTCTACGCATTTTAACCAATAAAAAACGCGCTGACTAGTCAGGGATTTTCTGAGAACAGACCTATAATCAATCTAATTTATGTCATGTACTGTGTACCAAATCTCAAAAAAATAAAAAGGCATAGGGTGACCTTTTGAGACGCACCACTATAAAGGCGAGATAAAGAAGAAGAATTCCTCATGTTGCCTTTTAGAGTGTGTTACGTTACGTCTATATTAAATGATAAGATTTTTTCTTCCTCGTGCAGTTTTATTCAGATCAACAACATGTCAGATATCTAAGTATTTGTAAGAAAAAACAGCCTAACTTATTGATGTAAGAGTGAAAATAATGTTAAAATTAAACTATACTTTCAGAATCGATAGAATCAAACCTATCAGATGGCTGATAATCTGATTCACTTGGTACAAATAGTTCAGACTATGTTTCATTGCATCCATTTTATCAAAAAATATTTTCTTAGCTCTAAACTTTAGCATATGTGTGTTAAAATCGCGCACAGCGTTAAATTTTATGGACTTGATCCACTTCACTTCAGAAAAGGATTCAACAGGATATTCAGAAACCAAACAGAAACAGGCTATAGCTGCTTAATGCCTGAAGTATGACTTCATTCATTTCTCTACTGAAAAAAAAACAATATTTATAACGTATAAAGACGATTATCCTAAAATAGTAGGAAATTGGACTTGATCTTTAGATAATTTTAATTCTGACCACTCCAAATTATGTAATGTAATATAATATAATAATTTCGCTAATAATGTATTTTTTTCCTGCATATTTTATTTTTATTTGCTACTTACCTGGTAAAAATAATTTAGATACGTCTATTTGACTTACGTGCTTCTGTAGCGTTATCTGATGTTATTGCATAATTACTATAACTTATCTATTTTTATTAGAAATACATATTTTTATAACAATAATTTTAATAACTGCTAACATTTATTAACAACGTTAAATAAAACAACAAATTCTTGTGTCTAACCTACGTTATACTTTCGCAAGTCTTGAATAAAATTAGAACTGCACACTGATAAAGCGGAATTTAAGTCACCAAGTTTTTGATATTCCTTCTTCCTTAATAATTTTTATTCAAAGCTTTATACCAATATCTGTGACATTTGACAGTGACCTTTGACAGCGTATGACATTTTTCTTAGCAAATAATAAAAAAATCTACAGTACGTCCCCGGATTGTCTTTACAAGAGGAAACACTTTTTTAGTGTTTAAATTATTGACGTTTTGGGAAAATGTATTTTCATAATTCGTCATATTTTTGCTAGTTTAAAAATGTCAAAAAAGATAAAATTTATTTGGTTCAATGCTACGGAAAGGGTGATAATAGTTATCGGAAAATGTGATAATATAATAAGAGCAAAAAATATGACGTTAATCAAAATTAATAATAACTTAGGTTTTTGATATACTCCTTATATCAAGAATCAAAGAATAAAATTGAAATTATATTACCACAGAAACGCCTTTTGAATTTTGGGACTTTTTTGAATTCTAGGAAAAATTCAATAATATTTTTCTAAGTTTTTTAATTTTCTCTAAATCGGTATGGAAATTTGGAAAAGTATAAACAACAAAGATTAACCATTTTAGAAGAAGCAATTTTTTATGAAGAATGCATTTTATCAAAATGTCAATTTCATAAATAATTTGTTCCTCTTGTAAAGACAGATTCAGAGGACATATACTGTATAAGAAGTAAAACAGGTAATAATTTAAACTATTTCTATGGTTACATCTTTTTCAGATCGTAATAATTTGGAACTGCGCCACTGCACTGGTAGATAAGAAACAGAATCATCTAATTTATGAGAGTACAATAAAACTAATTGCCTGGGGTCTTGATTTAGAGCCTTCCCTTTAGCCAGCTACAGAATAATATTGTAGGTTTTAAAAAAGGTCCTATAGCACTGCAGCTTATTTTTGTAATGGTTCATTAAGCCCTTAATGAGCAATATGCTATATTGAAAAATAAATTCTTAATGCTATATATTTTATAAACCAATATTCTCAGTGTTTTAAGTGT